AAATATAAATATAAACACTATACGTGTTGTAATCTAAAACACTAACAGTAAATGGACTGTACTTTTAAAGCACCTTTCCAGTCTTGTCAACCCTTTAAAGGGCTTTAAACTACAAGTCACATTCATCCATACACACAGACATTCCCACAGCACACAGCGCCTCATCAGGAGCAAGTTGGGGTTTGGTACCTTGCTCAAGGACACTTCAGAATGTGGAGGTGCAGGGGATTGAACCTTGTGATTATTGGACGACCCTCTCTATCTCCTATAGAGGATAATCCTGAATCTCTGATAAAGTTTTAGAACTGCACGTTTTTCTAACAAAGGTCGTGTCATGCCGCAGTGTAAAGCAGCAAAGCCCCTGCAGGCCTCTGTGACTCCACCAAGGACGTCTGACTACACTGCACCACCAGCGGCATACTACGAAAGCAGTTCAGTGTTCTTGTTCCCGGACACTGTCATCAAAAAACTGGAAAAAGTAAAGAATCTCAAAATGTTTTAGAAAACAGATTTAACTTGATATTTTATTAAGCTGGTGTTATTAACGTATGTTTTTATAGCGTGTCACCCAAAAGACACATTTTTATGATAATAGTAAATTAATAAATGACTCATAGTCTGAAAGTGAGTAAAAAACAGTGGCTCAAAGGGGAGTCGTGATGTTCTTACAATAAAACGTGTGACACTGATAAGAGTCATTGAGCATCTGTGGGCTCAAGGCAACGTGTTGTTTTTTTCCAGTCTGTAAAAACGAGATGAATTTTTACATTGAATCAAGTCTGAACCTGCTGAAAAAGAAACAAATATGGTGTAAAACGTTATAGAAGGGATATGAAATGAATCAGCAGCACAAACTGTGATTGAAATGCCTGCAAGAGGCTGTATTACCCTCATTTTCCTTTATTTATATTCCTGCCTTGGCTCCTGTTCTGAGGTTCGGTGTTATTATGCGTCCCCAGACAGACAGGCAGTCCAGAATGTCGGCACTCATCGGTGACTCAGTGTTTGCAGAGGAAGACAGTGCCAACCTGGAGCCAACAGAGAGTGCTAATTCTGTCTATTTGGACTCTTAATGCCTGACTGGGAAATCAAAAAGCACAAACCAGTTAGCATCGCTGGTTGGAGTTTTCTCTGGCAGCCTTCTCATCAGAGGGTGTCCCGGGAGTCCCAGCACGCTGTCCCAAACTGTACTTATGATCTTCATTGTTTGATGTAGCACTAAAAAAGTAGATTTGAGTCATGCAGTGTATAAATCAAACTCAAACTTTGCTGTTTAACTCAAAACTAGTGCAGAGCCTGTTCTAAACCTGGCTGGTTATAATGGGCTGTTTGCTTGTCCTGTGTTAATGCTCTGGGGCTACTTCAAAATTATTCCTTGTCATTAGTGAGTCCTCCTCAAACAGATCTACAATATACTGTCATGGTTTGTGTGCTGGATGTTGCAGAACTTTCATATGCTGCAGAGTGAAGTTAGAAAACTTTGTGTTCATCCTACCTGGTTTATCTGCAGGGAAGATTTAGTTGTCAGTGTTTTAAACTCAATTTGTTTTGTTACAGTCCACATGTGTGGTTTAAATACAAGTTAGAATGATTTAACATGATTGAACTGCTATTTCAGGGGTCTGTTCAGCAATTGACACTATCTTCAGACCCAAGTTCTTAACTTTTCAAAATAAAAACTCAGTAATTCAGCTTGATATAAAGCATTATAGTAACATAACAAACGTTGTGCTTTAACAGAGTTAAACATTAACAATACACAAGCCGACAAGATTAATGGATTGTGAGATATCCGTTCCACATACAGACACAGACGTTTGGAATTAGTAAGAACATAACTGTTAATGGGTCTGAAAAGGTGAGGTGCTGGTTCCTCAGTGCTGCAGAGTTCAAACCAGGTGGGAAGATGTTATGATCTGCATGCTCTAATAACTGTGAAGGAGTAAATGGAGCATGTGGATCAACATTTAGACACTTTCCTTCTCTGTGTGTATTCAAACAGACTGTGAGAGACTCAACACACTCAGAAATCCGCTTTGACTCACAGCTCTTGTCCACAGGCCTCGCAGCCCAATTCTGCATCAGCAGTACAACTGAAATATGTGAGAATGCAAGTCGCTCAGATAAGTGCGCACACCCTCCCCCATCTGCTGAGGTGCATGATGGGTGGTTAGTAATCAGTCCGATGTGACCTCTCAGGTGGATGTTGCTCTGGGAGGTACCGTGGGAGGATAAAAAAACTAGTGCAAAGCTGATTTACCGCTTTCCAAATTCTGGCTACCCATATGTTTAGAGCTGCCGGGAACATTGTGTTTTCACCTGTGTCTGTTTATCTGTCAGTGGAATTGTACATAAGGTACTGAACTGGTTTGCACCAAACTTGTTGACGGGACGATGCGTGGGACACGGGAGAACACATTTGGGTTTGGAGCAGATTCAGATTATTTCAGTTATATTTTTCCCTGAAGTCTGGTTTATGTAGTTTGACATTGGCCATGGTCTGCTCTCTCTGAAAGCCCTTCTAGTATATAAATGTGTTCACTACTAGGCATTAGGGGATAATGCAGGAATCCAGATATATTAAAGTAATCTTAAATGTAAAGAATATGTGACAGTAATCATTTGGTCATTCATTCTCTTTTAACAATACTATGCATTTTCAGTTCCTGCTGCATCACTCATGACAACCGTGAAGCCTTGAGTGAAACAATTCAGCTCTGTTTGAAATAATGCAAACCCTTTTTTGTAAATCAAGTTATCCCTGGGGCTTTGACGTCAGCGGAACATTATCTGCTCTCGCTTGAACAGTGAGTGTGTGCGCCTGCACAAGTGCGTGCACACTGCCTGACTGCCTACGTCAAACTGCAGAACTTAAGTACATCCAGATACTTTTTTATCTGTCACATCTTGCTTTCTAACTTTCGGCTCAGACATATTCATCTTAAAAATTTGCCTCAACTATCAATTATCATATTTTATACATGTTTGCCTGCAGTGTGTGTGTGTGTGTGTGTGCACTTGAATGAAAAAAGTTGTAGTTTGAAATCTTAATTTGTGACAACATACTGTAAATAACCTGACGTCTGCAAAGGAATCAGTGGGCTTCATTACTTCACTTCTGGGATCTCAGGTGTTACGGTTGCTTGTCAAATGTGAGAGCTCCCCCTACCGATCACATATGAGATCACAGCAGAAAACAATATTATATCAGCAGCTGCAATTGAGCCCAAGTCAACCTTCCTGCGTTTAGATCAAGAGGGAAACGGCTGAAAATAATAACTGACCCAACATGTCAGTGATTAAATACCACCGCTCTGGACGGCTGGTACAGCACGCAGAGTGTATGAGAGAGTGTGTATTTGTGCTATAGTGGGGGAGTTGGGGGAGGTTGGGGGGGGGTAACCCAGGCAAAGTAGGGAAGCTGAAGTCGAAGTTGCCATGGAAACCATTGTTTTTCCCTACCCTGTGATTGGTGCTGCTGGTGTGAGCAAGTATCTGCTATTTCTGTCATTATTCAACACCTCAGACATGAGCACAGTCACAGGACACACGAGCACACACAGGCACGCACACACACACGCACAAGTTTTGCATTTACAAATACAAAAAACGCTATCATCACATTTCCGCTGATTATTCCTAAAATTTATAATCATTATTTTGTGCTTCAGTCGTCTCTACGCAACTCACTCATCAAACACATGAATATTTTCGATGCTGACTTTTTCCTGCAGATCATAAGAGCGATGGCTTGCAGTCACTCAGCAGCAGGAGTTCCTTTGTTGATATTAACAACACCACAGTGAGTGGATCAATAGTAGAACATGTGTGCAATTCAGCCATTGATTTATCAGTGAACAGAAGCAATGACTCAAGAACAAATCAGGGTTTGTGGAGCTGCAACACTGATGAATGAATTCCTCAAGAAATACATGAAAGAGAGATGTCACAAACTGATGTGTGGGGCCGTCCATTCATACAAATCCAGAGGGAGGAACTAAACGAGTTCAGAGCATCGACAGGAATGAAAATCCTCAAGAGACATCTAAAGCTTGCGACTTTAAATTGTGTTACAAAGAGGATTTACACACTCTTAAACTCTACTCTTGTCAGTGTCTTTATTACATTTTTTTTCAAGTTGTGTCAAGTCTTTATATATATATATTTTTTGTGTGTGTTAAATTCTGGGACCTCTTGAAAAAGCCATATTTAAGATTACATAATAACCGGCTGAATATTATGTTCTGAAGACGTTGTAAAAATCAACATCTGAATTGCACAATCCACCGGATTCTTCGGCTCACTCACTCCGGTGGTAAACAAACTCATTCTGCAGGCCAGGAAACAGTTCATATACGTTGTGTGGGCCAGCCTTGTTAATCTCAGCTCATTAACATTAACCACTGGGATTCTTTTCCTCTCTGTAAATCAATAATCCTCCCTCGTGAGAGGGTTTTTTGTCGGATTGTGCATCGAGCGAGATCTTGGCGAGCTGAGAGTGAGGAGACGGAGTATTAGACAAAAGCTGTGGGGACCTGATGTGACCTGCGGTGGGATTTGATTGGACAGGTGAATGGCAGAAGCATCCCTACATGTGGAGCCCGGAGGTTGCGAGGCACTAAGACCCAGTGGAGTGTGAGGGAGGCTGGGTGCTGCATGTCTGCCCGCCTGCTGCCTGCCTGATCTGCACGGCTCTGCAGTTGCCTTGGGCACGTGCTGGAGCCAGTACATGTTTGTATGAAAGTGTGTGAGGAGGGAGAGTGTGTGTGTGACTGTGTGGGTGCACATCACAGGCTGGATGACAGTACCCCTCTGCCTCTTTCTATTATTCCTATATATCCTGTCTTGAAGAGAGCAGAGAGGAGGGAGGTGTGTGTTGTGTTTTAAGGGGACGGGGGAGTGGGGGTGGTCAGCGTGATGACGAGATAAAAAAGGCCAGGTGAGGAGGAGACACAGGAGTGTTCCTCTCCTCTCTCTCTCTGTCTCTGTGACGTGGTGTGTGTGCGTGCGTGTGTCAGTGTGTGTTTGCTGTGTGTGTGGGAGCGAGAGAGCGAAACAAGTCGGCTTTCCTTCAGCAGACTGTGAACCTGCACTGGAGGAAGAAGCCCTCTCCAGACTGAGGTATGTCACCGACTTATCATCACACACATCTCCACACATACCTGCCCTGTTAGCGGACTGTGTGGGGGGGATCAGTGTGTTGTTGTATTTTTTTAATCTGAGGCAGGGGAGTGGAAGTTAGGATGCTGGAAAGAAGGACTGTCTTTTTCCATCATATCACACTATCTTTGTGTATCCAGGATTTCTGCACACAGATGCCTCCTTAGTGTTGTGTACATTCATTTAAACTCCTAATCGCCATCCGCTCGTGTTGCCGATGAGCAGGGAAAGTGCTTCGCAGTGAAAAGGAACACTTGCACAACAGACTAGTTTTCCTCCACACAGTAATCAGCGTATGGGGGTCATATGGTTTCCAGTCAGCAGCTGAAGAGATTCTGCTGCAACCTTATATTCAAGCTTTGTGTGAATTCTTCAGCAGAGTTTCTGAGGCAGAGTTTAACTAGAAATGATCCTAGTTTCACTGATTTGATCACTTTAGATTGGAGTCTTTGCTGCATGTGAGCCACTAACTCCCTAATTTTCACTTTATTAATTAAATAATTATGTTTGTGTGAGTATACTTCACAAAATGGATCATCATAAAGCATCTATCAGGCACATCATTCTAATTTGGATACTCTTGAATGGGATTTTCATGGTATAAAGACCCTTTCAGAGACTAACTCACTTCACTTTGGGGAGATGTGGTGATAATGTGTTTCTTCGGTCACACATATTTCACTTTTGGTCGTGGTCGGAGTGCTCGAGTGACCCTGGACACCAGAGAGAAATAAAACAGACCACGCTGAATTAGAGTGAGAATCCAGAGGGCTGTGCCACAGTAGTTGCTACATCATAGCTCAGATGTCGCTTGAGGGTTATTTAATTGGGCTGAAGGTGACTGTAACCCTTTGACCTATTCAGCAAAAGGCCACCTACTTGTGACGGTCATGCCTGATGTGCGTACGCAGGCAGGAAAAGAACAGGCGCCTCGCAGCCACGGAGCCTGTCACACTTGTGAAATGGAAAACTTGCACATGCAGGTGTGCAGCATATGGAAATGTACCAAAGACTTAGTGCTCGCTCCACGGCTTTTACAGCGTGTGGGGTTGTGTCCAGGTGAGATTATGACAGTAAACACAGCGCAGGACCGCTTGACGACTCTTCTGGCCGCACAAACACTTTGCACACACTGCTGAAGCTGCTCTGCTGCCATTTATCTGAAGATTTGATGATTTCATGGAAGCACATAGGTTTTATAATAGTATATTTTAATTGTAATATATTTATTTCTGAAAGCTCATATTTTTCATGATATGAATATAATAGTATTTACTGATCTTTTCCTAACATCACTGCAGAGAGCAGGGAGCTCTGTGGCGCTGGGTTTCACAGTTTGTTCACACATCCAGTTTGCTTCTCAACTCTGTTAAGGGGGACATATGGTCCACTCCGTGCTTTTAGCTTCTCCCTGGGGCACCAGCTGCCCTGAAAACACACATCTGAGGATGCAGATGTCAAACATAAGAAGTAAATTATGACCCCAGCTACAAGTGAGTGCATACAGTCTGACGGCTTTAACAGCCTGAGTAAGACAACTCATGTCAGATCACAGCCACACAATAGACTGCACATGAAGGCATCTTGTTCACTGAATTGCATTGCAAGTGAGAAACTGAAAACTATTTTTGGTATCCCTCATTCTTCATTTGTAGAAAATATTTGAAATAAGATGATGTATGAAGGTGTTGTACTTCCACACTACAATATTCTAGCCAATATGTTATTCATCGTTGAGTGATGAGATACATTATGAACCTTTTAGACTAATATTTTATACTGTTTGAATAAGTCAGCATCATGTTTCATGAATTGCACTCAAGCGTGTTATGAGCGTGTTGTGAAAACGAAAACAAAGGCTTTCTCTCATGTCTCTAACAAGTTTTTTTTTTTTTAAATGTTCATCTTCACCAGCACCCGCGCTTCAACAGGACTCGGCATAGAAGAGACACCTTCACTAAAAGTTACTACATCTTCAAGGAATCCACCTGTGATTGTGGCCAGGGCTTGTACAGCTCCAGCTTCCATGACGGACTCCACTGCTGGAGCTTCTCAGTGACGCCCTACGACGGGGGAGGATGGGTGATGGGCCCATGAAATTCAGTGGACGCTCTCCTCCTTATGCCATCCTCTCATGGAGCATCCTGTCACATCAAGCCCCTCCTGGAACACTTCTTTCTCCAGGCTCCCAACATTTCCAGCCTCACTGCATCCAAATATCTCGAACGTGACCCCGAGCACAGCGAGCGTCCAAGGTGGGGTAGATCTGAACCAGTCCCTGGTGCTATGTGCTATGCTCATCATGGATATGCTGGCAGTGGTGGGGAACCTGGCCGTGATGATTGTCATCATCAAAACTCTGCAGCTGCGTAAATTTGCCTTCGTGTTCCACCTCTGTCTAGTGGACCTGCTGGCAGCGCTGGTGTTGATGCCTATGGGAATGGTGTCAGACCAAATCCTGGTGGACGAGGCACTGTGTCGGAGCTACCTCTGCTTGAGTGTGTGTCTAGTGAGTGCTGCCATCCTCACCATCTGTGCCATAAACGTGGAGCGCTACTACTACATTGTCCATCCCATGCGTCACGAGGTGAAGATGACGGTGGGCGTGGTAGTGGTGGTAGTGGTAGGAATCTGGATTAAAGCTGTTATCATGTCATTGCTGCCACTCTTGGGATGGCTGCTCCAGGGGAGCCGGGGTCTGGGGTCTCCTTCTGTCCTCATTCCTGGTCAGAGACACTGTTCCCTCCACTGGACGGGAGGCAGGACCATGCGCCTGCTTTTCATGGTCTTTTTTACAATTATTTATTTCCTGTGCCCCATGATGATCATACTCGTGGTCTATTGCAACATGTTCAAGGTGGCACGAGTAGCAGCCATGCAGCATGGCCCCCTCCCCACCTGGATGGATATGCCACGACAACGGACCGAGTCCAACAGCAGCCACTCCACCATGGCAGCTAGCCTCGGAGGAACTGGTGCCCGCGGCACCCCTCAGAGGACCTTCAGTGGTGGGAAGGCTGCGGTGGTCCTGGTGGCAGTGGGAGGCCAGTTCCTCTGCTGCTGGCTGCCATATTTCTCCTTCCACCTCTACTCGGCCGTGGTGTCTACCTCTACCCCCTCGCTAGCCCAACTGGAGGACGTGGTCACGTGGATTGGCTATTTCTGCTTCACCTCCAACCCCTTTTTCTACGGCTGCCTGAACCGCCAGATTCGCGAGGAACTGGGTCGTCACCTGGCTTGCCTCTTCAAGCGGGCTGGGCCCAGCGAAGGGCAGCAGCTGCCCAGCCGTGAGGCCTCTATTGAGGAGAACTTTTTGCAGTTCCTTCAGGGCACAGGATGCAATCTGGAGCCCTGCAACTCTCACAGCAGAGCCAGCCCAGAGGAGCCAGGGACCGAGTTGGTTCATGAATCAGCTGTTCAGCAGATCATGCCAGCTGACTTCCATATCCCAGGGCAGATCCTTGAGGAGACCTCAGAGTTCATTCAGCAGCAACAGCGAAACAATGAACTAAATGTATCAGAGAAGGAGAACTGCTGGAAAACTGTACCAGAGCTGTAGCTTCCTTTCATGTACTGTCTCTTGCCATCAATAATCCAAGAAACATACTGAGTTTTATTCACATTTCCTCAAATTCATCTTTGATGCTTAAGTTGAAAATCCAGTGGTATCTTCTTTGAAGAATTTAAGTTTTATAACTTTTAAGAGGACACAGCAGAATATATTAAGTGCATTGTCTGATTCATATCCCCAATGGCCATGATGCTGCAGCATTACATGTTTCGTGAGCAATACAGCATCAGGCTGTTTTCTGTATTATTAGCAGATGGACAGTAAACCCTTGTGTTAACAACAAAGTGACAAAGATCTCATGGAGGTAAATACGAGACTGTGACAGAGCAGAGCTTCAGGGGGAACACAGTTTTCACAGGTTATGTAAAGCTACAAAAGCCGTTCACAGGAAATGTGTACAAGCTAATTTTCAGTGAAAATGTTTTGTTTTTTTTCACTGACAAAAATGTTGGTTCTTCATTAGACATAAGGCAATAATGTATATGAAAGAATTTGTCATGATAAATCATCACTATTCCATCTATTTCATACGCACTTCTTTGTGCATTTTCCTCCTCTAGATTTTTTTTTGTAAATATGCCCTCATTGAACTCCTTGACAATCAATTCATAATGACGCAGTGATATGACCGTCTCTGTTTAACAGGATAGATGTGACAATACTGATTTAACGATGACCTAATCATAAATCCTGCCCGCTTCTTCAAGGGCCCAACTTCCCCTCCAACAAAGTGTTATTTTATGGAACTTTCTGCTGGAAGAACAACATGGTAAACTTAAGAAGTGGTTAAAGTCATTATTGTAGCTGCTGTAGACAGTATTTTAAGGAGTTAGTTGTTGGTAAAGTAACAAAACATATCTGTTGATGGTGTTAACGTTCACAGCTCCAATAGTCTCTCCATTTGAAATATTCATTGTGTTGAACAGGATCATCTCACAGCTGGTGCAGCTGCTGCTGGTATTTATAATAAACAGGCTGACACGCCAGTGTATTTTTAAACATTTTCCAGGAGCGTTATTATCATGTTTATCTGTTTTTAGTCTTGTGATTATCACTTCCTCACCAAAATCACCACACATTGCTTGACTTGTGATTCCAGCCCCTACCGCTCGAAGGGAAAATATTGTGGGTGGTCTAATTCCTATGACACTGTTGGTGTTCAGGATTAATCTTTGTAAAAAACGACTACAGGACGTTCAAAGTGTCACTTTGCTGAGAGCGAGGCTGGACGTGGATGTGGTTTTTTCGGACGCCTGGGCCCGTCCACCATCGCCCTGTGATGTCTGGGCTGTTTACAGGTAAACACAGGAGCAGTACGAGTGCTCTTGAGTTTGTGCTATAAACAACCAGGCTTGTTGTGGCTACACAGCACACAGGTGTGACAATGCTTACACATGGCAAGCTTTGCCTTTGGCCTCATTTAGCAACAAATGGAAGACACTGGCAACACTTCCTCTGATCTCAGGTGGAATACAGTTTGCACAAGTCACACAGGCAGTGACATATGTTCCAAAGAAAATTACAAGGCACAAATCTCTTACAAAACACTTTTTTGTCTTTCTGATCTTTCTCACTGCCTTCATCTTTTTTGGACTGCCTCATACAAGACTGTCGATTTGATCACAAGACTCTCCACACAAGGCGTACAGGGAAGGTTCATGTTTTGCTGGGAGTCAGAACAAAAAAAGGTCCCTTTGTTAGGGGACACAGTGTTCTAAATCTTCTTGCGATATGACTTTGCTGCTGACTGTTTTTCAGACGGATCTGTCTTGTCATCTTGCTTTGAAGTGTTTCTTTTGTGTAAAAAATTGGTGCAGAAACATTAGCCCCGAACTTAGTTTTAAATAAAATCAAGAACAATAAGGAGCACAAGACAAAATGACTGCCATAATCCTTACTGTTCTAGAGGTCATATCTTTTTTATTATTATAAGTAGTGTTGAAATTAGAGCCTGACTAATATAGATTTGTGGGGGACCAATGTCAATACCATTATGAGGAAGTAAATAATTTCTGATACCAATATATTGGTCAATATATATATATATATGTGTGTGTGTGTGTGTGTGTGTGTGTGTGTGTGTGTGTGTGTGTGTGTGTGTGTGTGTGTAAAAAAAAAAAGATGTGATCAAATCCTCATGACAAAGAAATGTGACTGAGGATTGATATTTTACAGTTTAAACATATATAAACTGTTCACACACATAGATATGTGTATCTATGTGTGCATTTGTTCGTAAATTATGAAAGTGATTCCTGAAATGTCATATGACAAAAAAAGTAATTACAATAATTAAAAGGAAATTACAAATACAACTAGACATATAGAACTTGAATTAAGAAAATAGATTAAATATATTTTATCTATTTATATTATAAATAGTTTTACCTTAAATTTAAATGTGAATTACTTATTCTGTAAGATAAAGATTTTTGCCCATAAACTCTGATAGTAATACAGCTCATATTAGCCGATGTTATCAGCCAACCGATATATTGGTCAAGCTCTAATTAGAACTACAAAATATGGAACCATAATAATTATCAACATATGATTCAATGTAAAAAAATAACATAAAACTGCCTTAGTGTATTACACCAGCGTTCAGGAGCAAGGGTATAACCTCTTTGGATAATCTGGGATCTTCCTCATTATTGATCATTTTTATTAGTAAAATAGTTTTAATATATTCAGTGATATTTCACACAATCTGAGGTCATCACAAATCCCCTTGTTTCAAATGTACATCAGCACACCATTCAATCAGCTGGATTTCCGTTACCGTAGCAGCAGAATTGCCCTGACCAATCTGATTACATGCCTTAAACTCTAAATCTGCTATCATCTGCTGATTACCCGGACGGACACATAAGCTGCTCTGAAGGTGACTGGCAGATAATATTCCTAGTACAGGGAATTTTAATGAAAATACAGTTTTGTTCACTGTAAATCATCAATACATGTCATTTTTCTCTCTGTATCTCCTTTTGTACCTGAGCTGAAAAGATTGTTTGGATGCTTCATTATTAGGATTTGTTTTGCCCCTTGTTAAGATTCCCCTGTGTATTGGTTGCCCATCAATTGAAATGATTTAAAACACTGCAAGAAGATTAAATTGAGTGTGTTGTGTTCTGTCATAGTTACCAGACTTTTTCAGATCAATAACTGCATCTATCACACGATCAATCCCATCAATCATCGCTCCTGCCCTCTAGCTGCCTGCTCCCTGCCTGTGTGTGTGTGCTCAGTGCAGGCAGGAGGTGCAGCGTCACAGAGGTGCAATGAAGCGGTAAGAACAGGATGAAAGAGGAATGACATTTTGAGCAAGGCACGGTGCTGGAGCCCGTCGGTTGGAGGGGACATTGTGATACTATAACCAACCTGACGCCCACTGACACTGACTCAAATCTGCAGTTGACCTTTCATTACAATAAGAATATAGGGATGAGGTGAATCTGAGCTATTAATTGAATTTCAAATATACAGCAAATCTTATATCTACTGACTAAAAAACTGAAATATAAAAAACACCAATTTGAGCTGACCTCAGAGAAAATGTAAAATGTGCGGATGAATACCACAAAAAACCCCTTGTTCTTTTCTACATTGTGTATTTAGATTATAATGCACAACTGAGCTTTTTGGAGTTTAATTGTTAGTTCTGAGATGAGATTGTTCAGATCCAGCCACCAACACTGCATCACCCGAGGCTCATTCTCTTTTTCTGGTTATCCTAATTTTCTTACCCTCTCCTGTGCTGCTCCCCAACGGACGGAGTGACTCATAACTTTCATGTTGAGCCTGGGAGGGCGCCTCCTGCAGTGCAGGGAAACGCTTCAAACAGCCTGACCTTTGTGGTGGGCTACAGCACTGCTCAAGGACGGATGCCCCATGTGTCACCCTCGAGGGTCACTTGGTGCACTGCACATTGATTCAGAGGATGAGTTTGGGTGCGTTATTGTTTCTTATCAGCTGAACGCAAAAAGATGTGAGAACGTTCACCTGTCAGTTCTGTCTGCAGTGACATCACTAGGTAACACATGAACTCAATAATGTAAATTTCTCACTCACTTCCAAATCCTGACTCCACTGAAATCAGCTGTTGCCTTGGTAACCAGAGCTGAGGATGGTGTCCAGGGCTCCAGCAGGAGGAGCAGGAGAGTCGAACTGTTTGGGGGAAGGAGCAAAGTTTTGACCACTGTTAAGTTTACAGACACCAGGACCCTAGATTATCTATTAATTAGCTAGACGCTATTAGCAATGGAATTTTGGAATAACTTTAATTATACTTTACTTTATATATAAATTACTAAATCTCCACATCACATATGAAATTATTGTTTTTACCTTGTGTATAATATTATTTCATCACTTTCAAACAAGGCACCCCTTACAATTGTTTTATAATCAGAATCAGAATCAGAAATACTTTATTAATCCCCGTAGGGAAATTCAAATGTCACAGAGCTCCTGAGAAAGAGGTGAAAGAGCAAAAGCAGGTCACAAGTATTGGCTTTAATAAAAATGCATTGCAGCTCAGTCATAATTGATTAATGAGAACACATTTGGGGTGGTCCAAAATCATCTTTATTAGTGTTACATGAACAAACAGTTGACATCAATTCAAATAATCAATTTTAGAAAAAGCTTTAAAACAGTTGTGAATACATCAGGTTTGGTCAAGCATTGATGTGGTCATGATATAAAGCAGATGTTTAATTAATAAAGGCATAACTACGGTGGCCCAGAGAGCTCAACACAACTGCAAATTAAGAAAACACATACAAATAGAAAAAACACGTGCAGATTAGGAAAAAACTTCATCAATTTGAATACACATGCGCTGCAAAAAGTCACAACACATGCAAAAACAGAAACGACAAATGGAAATGTACCTGGCTGAAGTTCCATCTCCAGTGATGAGTGGCAGACTTCAAAATAACTTCACAAAGCATTGTATTTGCATGTGTTGTGACTTTTTGAAGCACAAAAATATTAAATGTTCTATGTAAAATGTATCATTTTACAAGTATTGAAGGAACAAAACAAGCAACTGAAGTGATTAATCATCAGACACAATGATGTAGAAAATAATGATTAGCTGCTACACTGGTTAAATTGTGAGTTTATTATTACCACAAAACACCTTTAAACTCACAGAGCAGATCACACTGACTCTGCTCTAAACCCTGCTGAGGTGACGTTAATGTGGGATGACACATGGAATCTAACATGGTGCTGTCAGTGATGTCGTTGCTACATGTTAGCATTGGCATGATCTACTGTTCTGTTACTGTGTGTTGATGAACCCACCTCAGTGCTGCCACTACAGATCCAGTAGAACGTGCAGGGTTGAGCTTGAACGTGAAACTCAGGCCATGAAAAGCCACAGTTTGACCTGTTAGCTGGAGACACGTGTCGCACATGTAATTTACCTGCTGGCACATGGCAAACAAACATGTAGAGAGATGAATCTATCTGCAGTCCAGGTGTGGGTCCGCTGGGGGCGCTGTCACACCGCACAACACTGCTGCCACAGTGTCTGCAGGTCAGTGACGTGTAGCTGCAGAGAAAACCTGCAGATGTGACTAATGCTACATCCCACACGAGTCTGAGAGGATCTGTGAGAAGTGCATCCACTTTGAGCGACATCTGTGCTGCACATGCACGTGCAGGACAGGCCACAGCTGGCAGTTTTAGAAGGGACTACATTTCCCATCAGCCCCGTAGGGCGCATCAATTTTCTCTTTTTCCCCCAGCGCAGTTCTCGTGGTTTGCCTCTGGATCAGCTGGATGAGCGCGCGGCTGCGCAGCGTGGTTGTGTGTTTACTCTGAAAACACTGGATTAGGAGCTTTTTAAACACAAGTTTGTACTTTGACTATTTTTGTTTTATTATTTGTAAAAAAAAAAAAAATTTAAAGTTATTATGTGTGAGAGAAAACTCTGGATAAGTTGGAGAAAAGGATTTTAAAGGACACATTTGTTTTTTTTCCCTTCCTGCGTAAAGACTGAATTGAATCACCTGGAAGGACAGACAGACACAGACAGACAGTGTGTGGACTGAAGCTGTGAGACTGTAGTTGGACCGACGAGCCTCCACTGCCAACGCCTTTCCCCCCCCCTCCCTCTCTGTGTCCGTGGCTGTGAAACTTCATCGAGCCAAACACGCTGGTTTCCCTTCAGCTCATGAAGAGCTGAGACCCACACACACACCGAGAGAAGTCACCTGAGAGCTACAAAGAGAAGAATGGGCTGCACGATCAGCGCCGAGGACAAAGCTGCAGTGGAGAGGAGTAAGATGATTGACAGAAACCTGCGGGACGACAGAGACAAGTCCTCCAGAGAAGTGAAGCTGCTCCTGCTCGGTATGAACCACAACACTCACTCCTTGTCTCTGCATTGACTAGTGTATATCTCGAAGTTGTTGCACTCTTTCACTGCAGTTTGTAGTTGACCCACTCCTCCTCCTCCTGCTCCTCTTCCTCCTCCTCCTCCTCCTGTAATGCAGCTGTGGCTCCCCATTCCCTCTCTGACGAGCAGAAGTAAACCAGATGTTGGTGCTGACAGGCTTTTCTCTCCTGTAGAGACGTAGGGAAGACGTGCTCTGTGTTGACAAGTGTGTCATCGCAGTAGTCTCATGCAGGCCTCTTTGACTCCAGCGTCTGTACACAACCTGACAGCAGCAGCCACTGATCTGGGTCAACACATCTCAAACACAAAGAAATGACAAAATAAAAGATTTTTATCTGAAATCCTACAACTGAGAAGCAGCAAAGTAATGACATTATTATTATCAGTAAAGGCCAAAGGTGTTTTCAGGTTGCTGTGATTAGACCAACATAGAGTTTTGTGCGGCGATGTTGAGACAGTTATTGGATAGTAAAAAATGTCTGATTCAGATATATCAGCTGATATATGATTGTTTTTTAAATTGGCTATGATTCCTCAGATGTCGTTATCAAACCGTTGTGACAAAGACATTTGTAGTCAGTTTTTCACTGGTCAAACCCCCCCCCACTAACATCTGGCTTTTATCTGCCACTGGAAAGGATACAATCAGCTTTATACTTCTGGTCAAAATGAGTCTGATGTTTCGGCATTTGCTCTGTGCTAATATCTTCTTCTTCCTCTTTATTTGACAGTTTAAACTTATGCTGCACCTTCTCTGGCGCAACTTTATGGCACACATTGAACTTCTGGGTGTCGTTGTGTAAATAGGCATGAGCATGTGTAACAGCGATTTTTCTTCGCAATGTGCAGGATACATCACTAGAAACATAGGAAGGTGAGAGAGCTTCTCAGTGTCCAGTGTGTGTACCACAATTACCTCTTTTACACCAAAATTAGCAGGTGTCCGGGTTTTTTTTTTTTAAACCTCCGATGAGTAATTTTTCGATATCACTAACGTATCGGACACCTTGCTGTCTTGTTGCATCTTATGAAGAAAAGGGTTAGGGTTAGGGTTAGGGTTACCCTAACCCAATCACAGCTATTTACATTCAAGTTTAATGTGGGTCATAACATCGCATTAGAAAAAAGTGTTTGGACTGCTGAAATAAAGAAGAAGAGGAAATTAGTGCATTCACCTAGATATCATGTTTTATCACTGACTGTGTCGACTATAGAGTCATTTGACCTGGGAGTGAATGCTGATTGTATTCATGACCACTGCAGACAAAAGGCAGAACCCAGTCGTTGGTGGGTTTTTTGACCAGTGGAAAAGAGGCTGATGTTAAACTGGTATAAATTGAGGTTTGGTATTTTACAGTTTAAGCTTAAGCACAGATACGTCTGTGAAAGGCTCGTATCGGCTGATTTTTATTGGCACGACTGATGAAGGACTTGGCTTAAGTTGTGATATGTATTATTCTTCATCGGCTGTACTTGTAGTAATTTAATTCAACTTATTTTACAAAGTGTTTTCCATTGAGGACTGGTCTGTTCATTTCAGTTTGTCCCAGTGGATAAACACTTCGGGTACCTGAAACCATCTTCAGGTTCAGAGTCATGATGTCAGCACCCACTCATCAGGATCACTGACCATCTGTAGAGTCTCTGTTGGTTGGTATTAATGAGACACTGATGCTGACACACCTCCCATAAGGAGGAACTAAATTTCTCGTGTCAGTTTACAAGAAGTAATTTAACTCCACATCCTATTTTACAGCTGGAAATGTGTTTGTGTGTCCACCAGCAGATCCCAGATTTGTTTCTACTTTATGACCCCCTGTGGCCATTGTGTGGTCCCGCTTTGTGAGCAGTGACGTTATCTCCTCTGAAGATCTTTTACAGGCACGCAGAGAAGTGAAAGTTTGAGAAAAGCTTCTTCAACAATCTGTAGCTTTTCTTTTCTCTATCCCCTCACATTTATTTGAAGTCGTCTGTCGTCAGCAGTTATCATTGTTCTGCTAAATCATCATTATTGGTTTAAGGTGGTTTTTTTCCGTCACTTGGGGACCTTATGAAACAGTGGGGAACTTGCCAGAAAACCCATTTACACCTCAAGCATGATTGTTGCAACATGAACCTTTATCTGGTGTTGTTTCTGGCAATCTATTGAATCTAAAGCCAATATTCACTCTCTTTTAGTTCTGTTATTTTCTCGTCTCCTGAGGGAAATATCTGGAAATTTAGCTGCTCAGTCCTACACTGTGTTCTGCACAGTGAGAGTGAAGCACAAGAGTAAAGGGATGAGTCGTAAAACCAAAACAATGACCTTAAGCGGTTTTGTTTTGTTTTTTTTCTGTTCTATTATCGTTGGGTCTTGGATTGCTTTGTCTGTTTTGTGATTATTTGTTTTATGTGGGACTCCCTCGAAAATGAGTGGATGCAACTCAAGGGGTTTATCCCATTTGAATAAATACATTTCACAATCAATCAAATTAAAGATGTTAAAACGCTGTGTAGAGCCGAGGATGATTCTCCATTCATCGTTACAACTTTCTATTGTTAATATAGAAATATTTATTAGATATCCAGCTTTAACTAAACCTGATCTCCGAGCAACGTGAATGAATACTTCATAATATTAATCCTAATATTCTAAAATGAAAATCTAATAATAAAAAAATAAAAAAATGCATTTTAGTATGTAGAAAATATGATGTTGAAACAACCATAAAAACTAGAGATGTTACTATACCAGCATCAGAAATAACTCTCATACGGCCTTGGTTGGGCATCAGTGGATATACAAATCTATGTACCGACCCAATACTACTTATTTTAATTATATTATCTAAGTATATATTCAGGAAATCGCTTCTTCTTTGCCGCTAGCAGTTGCGCTGCACCGCCACTGGCAAGTACTATTTTTAGAGAGGCATGAGGAAGGGGTGATTTACAATAGTGAAGCGTTCGCCAGAGCTAGCTAGAATATAGGCAAGCAATAGAAGCTAGGCAATATTTCACGCTGGAAAGTCCCACAATTAAAACGGCAACAGGTACCATGTGCAAGTCGAGGGGTACGTGTCAAGGGTTTCGCTTTAAAAAACAGTTTTGGAACATCTCTAATAAAAATAGTCATTTGCAGCAATGTGTTGATGTGACCTGATTATACTGATGCACCGTAAAGTTCAGGCGCTTTCGGTTGAGAAATTCACATGTAAATGTAAAAAGACACTTCATGTCAAACATGTGATATGATGAAGATACTCAGACATCTGGGGGTATTGACATGCTTCAGTTTTCAGAAAACAGTTTTACTGAATCATCACTTTCCTGTATCATGCCAGAGTTGTATTTATCATCTTGTAAGTTAAAGTTAAATTAGTGATGGCCTCAAATATGTGACCAGAATTAATAATGCAAAGTATTTAATTAAATAGACAATTCAGAGTACAGACGCAGCTTTGGATTTAGCTGTGGGCAGGAAGTCATTATTATAGTCATTCATATGGCAGGTCTTCTTACTGTGTGATGGATCTGAGCATCAACATGCTGCATCATTTGACTTCACTCATGGTGACAACATGACTGACATATTTCCTCACAGTTTGATAGTGTTGATGAAACAGTCAGTCACGGTGTATCAAACTGACGTTATAAGAACAGATGAGCTGTGTCTGTGTGACTCAGACAGTGTCTGTGATTAGTTATGGAGGCATAAGTGGTGATTTTTTTTTAGTGAATGAACCGCCATACTCAAAAACTTACAAATGTTTAAAATCCCAATAAATCCCATTTAACTGATTTTCATAAAGTACAGTAGGTCTCAACAACAGGATCTTCAGTGTATTATCATTTAATTATCACTATAAGAGCGCACACGTTTTTACCCTGCATGTCAGGGTCTGAGGGTTGTTTTCAGGCTCTACTCCAGCATTGTTTAATCAACAAATATCTAACAGATTCAATGAAAAATGTGTTGTTCAGCAAGTTTTAATGTTTCATTTAGTTATTGGTCTTTTCTGTAAACCAAAAATGTTTCTGAAACTGGTAACTTAATGTCAAGAAATAGGCCTGGGTGTCCACCATTGAAGTTAAGCATGTTTATCAAATCTCCAGGTATGTGATTCATTTATTCTTCAACTGTTTTTCTGCTTTTATTCTCAAATTAAATCTTGAATTTAATATGAAACCTTCCCATCAGAGAGTATATGTTTGCTGGGATTTACCTTGATCTATCAAAGATATAACAGTATGACCAGTAAATCTACTTCGCAACATTTCAGAGCTTCAAAAGTTTCCACAGCTTTTATTTTACTTTCTCATCTCAGTGTTTAGTTGGTGTATTGCAGCAAAATTGCATTGTTTTATATTGTTGTGTGGAAGATGAGCTGTTTTAAGTAGTTTAGCCATGAGTGTAATGACAGAAGTGAAACCTGAAATAGACACAGATGTGGTTCCTGTAAATTTGGGTGCTATAATGTCACAATGCAGGCTAAAAATCTCATTGTATGGAAACATTCATTTATTCATTTTCAAGTCTCCACCACAGAGTTTGGGGGGGGGGGGATTTTTCCAGGCAGCGCCCACCACTCCATGTCTGTGCTGGAACGAGAGAGTTATGGGGGGAAAACAAAGAGGAGTTCAGCTGCCGTTCTTTATGCACAACCACAAAGCAGGAGAGCCAATGCACCCTTCCAATGAAAATGTTCTCCTGTTTAACCACAACCAGTGAAAAACAAAAAAAGTGAATTTGAGATTCCTGTTAAATGAGGCTTGGTTCGGAGTCTGACTCGTGTGTGGGTTTGGACGACTTGGTGAATGCTTGTGTAAAGTTAGTTTGTGAACTGGCAGCAGGACACAGTTGATAATCAGCCAAAAAATGCCATGAATGAGAGAACTGGTGGCTGATGGACCAGAAGATGGGGAACCATTAAAATGTGTCCTCTCCTCCCTGTCTGTCTGAGCGAGCCGAAGTCTCTTTTGCTAGTGACAGCTTAACCCAAGAATTCAGGGAATTAATTCTTTTTGGCCAGTCATCTGAAAACATTACTCTACTATAAGCCTCCGAGACAAAATTCATCTGTTAAGGATTCCTGAGTAGTGGAGCAAATGTGTCTCACCACCTTTTGGGGGGAATAAAGTGCTTAGATAATCTATACCCTTAAGTACTCTCAGACTTACTTATGGTCAATTTAAAAACAGAAGCAGGTATTATTATTAGTACATTTCATTTTACCCATTGTATCCATATTTTAAATTCCAGGGTTGGAAAACATTTTCATCCTGCAGTTCTTGATGATTACAGCAGTTATATCAAGGCTCTACTGCCTGTGTAAACCCAACTCAGATGTTTATGGAAATCATTTCTCACAATAGTCTGAGTTTGACAGTTAACGTACATACGAGTTTTCATGCCTCTTTAATTAAACCACAGCTATGAAAAATATATAATTCCAGGGTGAGTCACGGGGCGGCAGTGTCAAAGCACTGCAGAAAATATTTTAAAAAATATATATTTTGCCAGCTATGGTACTGCAACCCAAAAAGCATTTTCTTCATTAGTCTGAAAATCTGTTGATCTGTACCCTGCCTCTTGCCCAATGTCACAAAAGGATAAGCATTATAGATAATGGCTGGATGGAAGTCTATTATTTTTGGACTTGAATGCATAGAATTGAATTTGTTGCATTTATAATCTACACATTATATTAAATTGAAGCAATAAAGTGGTTGTTGATTAATTAATTGACAGTGTTTGAGCTGTGGAGGGATCACATCTGTGCCACTGCTGTTTTTAGTGCCTGCCAACATCATGGGGAGGAACTGATCAGATCTGTCATTATTATATAAGAAGGAGGAAAGAAGAGCTTGAAATAAAGAATCTTTCTGATCAGTAAACAGGAGGTTTTTCAATAGGGTTGTTTTTTATTGTTCATTTGTTCATACACATCTACATTACCTCTATTTTAAAGAGATAGTTGATATGAACATAGAGTGATTGTATCCTCTGTACAATACAGTTTGGTCTTGGTCAGAGAAACAGCTATTGAATATTTAGATGGGGGTAGATTTGAAGCATATACTGTGTTTCTATAGCCCCTCTGCTCTCTAACACCCAGAACAGCTTGATGTTTCGGATTGTCTCGACAATGGAAAAACACAGGCTCTGCCTGAGCATGACAACTGTTTCCTGTTTGGCTGTCGTTGAAATACTGTAAAGGTCAGGGACGTGCAGAGGATGTTTGAGGAGCAGGGGCCCAAATTCATAAAGGGCAATTTTTGTAAATATTTAGATGGGCTTTATTTCAAAAAGGCTGACCTTAATGGTGCTTTAATTCTTTGATATGAAACCTAATATCTATACTGGTCTCTTGCTTGTGTGTGTGTGTGTGTGTGTGTGTGTGTTTTGCATCAATTGAAATATCAAACAAATAGGAACTGTATAATTATAATTTTGGTGTGACCTCAAACTTGTCACACTGAATCTCACTGTGTGTGTGGTTGTGTCCATACAGTGCTTGCTGCTGGCAGAAAACTAGGTGGGAGGAAGGGTAGAGGACATCGCCCGGGAGCACTAATCTCTCGACTTGATATTTTCTATTTATTTAAAGGTCCAGTTTGTAAGATTTAGGTAAAAGGGATCTATTGGCAGAAATTTAATGTAGAATAATCCTCATGATGTTTTCACTAGTTCATTTCATCTAAATTGTATGAATTGTAGTTTTCTTTACCCCAGAAAAGCCCCTTTATATTTAAATACTTTATATTTACATCGAGGGGACCCTCTATACAGAGGCTGCCATGTTTTTTTACATTAGTCCAGACTGGACAAACTAAACACCTCTTGAGTTTTTATGACAATTACAGGCTACCACAGTTTCTTTTTCATGTTTGGAAGCAGAGGGTGAGGTGAGGGGTGTTCAGCTGCAACATGCAATTTCAACACTAGATATCACAAAATTCTACACACTGAAGAAAACACCCCAGAAAAAGTGCACTTTCTCACAGGAGATGCTAAAGCTCCCTTTCAGCTCTGTCTATGCACTTTTGTGATTTTTGTGATGATATTTTATGATGTTTATAATTTTCTTGTTCTGGTATAGGCAGTCTGTCTTGATTTTTACAGCACACACACCAAACAGCATGTAGTTCATCACTGCAGTGGCTCCAAAGCTGCACTGCTTAGTGAGAGAGTTAGGGACTAACCAGGAATGTATTTGAGCATGTTTGTCTTTGTTTAAACAAGAATGACCGACAATTCATTTGACATCTGATCTTTCCAATTATAGTAAGGCTGCGGGGGCTGAACACTTTTTTTCTCAGAGATTTTTAGCTGCGTGAAGAGGGATGACTGCAGACTCCCATTAAATACATGTAGGATTTCCACATTAGCAGTAATCAGCAGCTAAAAAGTACTTTTAACAGATCTGCATGATTCTCACGCACATTTTGTTGCTTGCAATCTAGCTAAACAGCCATCAAAGATTTGAGGCAACCTCCTGCTCAATTGTAATCCTTCCTTGCCTTCTACCATCCCATCGTAAATGGCACCCTGGCCTTCAGGGTTTTTGGTTCCACAGACTGTAAATCAAAATGTGATTGATAAATTCACTGCAATTTCCTGAACAAACACATGCTACTATAGAGGTGTCAGGCCTTTTGTCCTGGTTATAAATGGTTATAAATGGTTACATATCCTAACCAGTGGGTTAGCAGGCTAAACTTTATGAAAAAGTATGACTGGAGAAATCTTTTCAGTGTCCTCCTCATTTCTGATGCATACCTGATAGAAAGTGAATTACAAATTTGAACTAGAGGAGAATATTTATAAATCAGAAGATAATAAATATTAATGAAAGAGTTCAAATGTCCAGTTCATTATATAGCACAACATCACACTAATACACAAGGGAGTACCTCCTGACTGTATACGTTCCCTCAGGCTTCACTTAAATGCCTGCAATTGAAATTCATCACAAGGCCTGTGTTTGTTGAATGTTTTGACATAAACACACTCTGCACACTGTATGATTAGATGAGATCAGATTAAGTTCAGCCCTGATAAAATGCTGCTTCGCCGTTGTCCGTGTGAGAGGAGAAACCGGGGTATTATGTGGCAGCATGTTTGTTCTGCTGTATGTTGCCTCATATATCCACTGTCCTTTTTCAGGAGCTGGGGAATCTGGGAAAAGCACCATAGTAAAGCAGATGAAGTAAGTTCCAGTGCACATGACGTTATATCAAACTCCTACATCCTGCATGCTGATAAAAGAAAGGCCCTGCTCACTCCTTGTCTCAGCTGCAGCCCTGTTGTCAGAGGTTAATAGTGAGAGGACAGCTGTGATTACAAACAGGGCTCATCTTTGTGGAGTCGGAGCCTCGTTCTGCTCGGCTCATGAAGAGGAGGAGGCTCTGTTTTTCTAACATGTCAAACAATGACCACAGAGGCCAACTGTAGCCTGGCAGAACCTGAATAGACTCCCCCAGTTCCCACATTAGGCACGCTGCATGCTCACTGATGCTCCTCTTCCAGCACTAATGACAGTGAAATGTTTCAAATCTGTAATTTAAAATTTATTAAAGCCATTGTTCCTGCTGTCAAATATTTATCTGGACTCTGAAAGCTAACTTTTTATCTCTGTGTCAGAATCATTCATGAAGATGGCTACTCAGAGGAGGAGTGTAAGCAGTACAAAGTTGTTGTGTACAGTAACACCATCCAGTCCATCATGGCCATCATCAGGGCGATGGGCCGGTTAAAGATCGACTTTGCGGATGCTGCACGGGCGGTAAGAGAGTTACACTTGACATTAAAATGTGACTTACAAAGAGCTGCACCCTCATTCATGATATGACTCAGCACAGGAACCGTTTTACAATGAGAGCAAAAAATACTGTCTTTGTTTCCAGGACGATGCCCCTCAACTGTTTGCCCTGGCGAGCTCTGCGGAGGAAGGGGTGATGTCGGCCGAGCTGACGGCCATCATTCGGAGGCTGTGGAAGGATGGCGGTGTTCAGGCCTGCTTTGATCGATCACGAGAATATCAGCTCAACGATTCTGCTGCATAGTGAGCACTTCTCCACATACACACCCCTACAGGTTTCATCAAGTAACTACAGGCTTATTAAATCACTCAGAAAGGATCAGCATATTTTACATGGTATCCAGCTGGAGTTGATTTTGTCTAAAAAGGAAACTCGGCACTGTAGTTCAGTGGTTCACTGTTGCTTCACAGCAAAAAGGTTGCATGTTCTGTGTGTGTCTCTGTGGGTTTTCTGCAGCTTACTCCCACAGTCCAAAGACATGCAGATTGGAGACTCTAAATTGACCATAGATATGACTTAAATGGTTGCTTTTCTTTGTATGTATGACGCTGCAACACGCTGGGGACCCTGCCAGGATTGGCCCCTGTCCCCCCTTATCCGTAAAGGATAAACGGTATACAAAAATGGATGTTCAGTGGTGTTGGGGAGTACGACTGCATATCTGTGGTTCAGAGGGAGCTGTGTGAGATCCAGTAAATGCCCTCAAGTGATGCCACTGGAGTCAGTGTCTTTTGGGGCTGAAGACTGCAAGTTTGAAAATGAAATAAGTCAGCAGAGTTTGAAATAAGTGAGTTTACCAGACCTCTGTAACTTGCTCCTCATCTCTGCTTAAGGCTAGCAAACTGTCTGGTGTTGTAAGAGTGAACTGCTAAATCAATGGAGTACTGTTTGGAAAGCCCCAAGAGGGATGAGATCATGTCACCACCTGATTCCAAGTCAGATTTCTCAAGAATTGTAAATAAATCACGTCCAGTTTTCTGGATAATTCAGGGTGAAAAATACTCAACTTATCAGCCCTGTCTGAAACTGCTTTGATGATAGTGAAGTCTGAAATTGCATCATCCATCTTCAGGCTCCTTTCTAACACATGACGTGTGTTGTTTGCTTTATTATTGTGATACTTTCACAAGGAGGGTGACATCTTTGACCAGGAGCGTTTTCCTCCTCGCTGTCTGTATTATTTTCACTCGAAATTAAAGCAGGCAAGATGTGTCTTGTTCTTCATGATCCTGTGTCAGCTTGTTGCACAGTTCAGTTCTTGTTTAGCATTCCATAAGAAGGAGAAGCGGAAAGAAGACACGTTGCTCTTCAGACACCACGGTCATTAAATACTGCCCTGGGTTTTACATGACTTATCAGACACAGATAAAACCCAGGGATTTCTGCTTCTCTACTCTCGACGTGAAAGAAAAAGCAGCCTAATGCGAAGGTGTGACTGACGTCTTCTTTGTTTTGAAAACAGCCGAGCTGTCATGGCTCTCGGTGCAATTTGTCCACACTATGAGACAAGAGGAACCAGTGGAGTTAGTCTGTTTTTACTCAACCCGCAAGGAGCCAGTGTTTATCATGCACCAAAATATAAGCCCATATTTAGTATCATTCTGTGAAGTCCTCAGACGAGTGTCTGCAGAACAAGCTTTCCACTTCTTCTCCAGACATAAATGTGAAAAAATATATAATATTTTTCATACTGAAAGTCTGGAAAACAGCGTGGAACAACGGGTGCAGTGGTTTGCACTGTTGCCAGCACTGTTCCCAGTTTGAATCCTGGTTTAGCTGGGGTCTTTCTGTGTGGAGTTTGCATGTTCTCCCTAGGAGAGCCTGGGTTTGCCTCAGGTGCTCAGATACTCTAAAGAGGTGTGACTGTGAGTGAATGGTTGCTTGTTTCTGTATTGGCCCTGGGATACATTAGCAACCTGTCCAGTGTGTACCCTTCCTCTCACCCAATTTCAGGGAGGATTGGCTTCGGCTCCCCCTGCGACCCTCAAAGGATAAGCTGAATAGGTATTGGATGGATGGTTGGTAGGAAAACCCCAGATAATGTAACCATGTGGTTTTTTAAAGCACTGCCTACTGCAGATACTATTTTGTGTTGTCTAAGTAAAATTTGTGTTTGGAGGATCATCTTCATACATCTGTATTTTGTGTCTTTCAGCTACTTGAACGACTTGGACAGGATCTGCCAGCCAAACTATGTCCCAACTCAACAGGATGTGTTGCGCACACGCGTGAAGACCACTGGCATCGTGGAAACCCACTTCACCTTCAAAGATCTTTACTTCAAGTTAGTACGAGCTTCAATTTCAATTCTTCTTACTAAGGAGCCTGGCCTGAGGTGGGCTGTGTTTGCTCCATCAAAAGAACGTATTAAGCCTTTATGAGCAGGGAGGACCTTACTCGATTTATTTTATTGAGCAGAACTTTATGTCATTATAAGCTTAACACAGTGATTCCCAACCCAGTGAATTTAACATTATGATTCAAGGTGTGAGATTATTAGTGGGGACTCTGAGCAGCAAAATTCTGCTTCACTAAATGATTTGTGTTTTTACCCGCCACCGGCAAATTATGAATCCAGGCTGCAAGGAGACATGCCTTCATTATAATACATTTGATTTTACAAATGATGAGAAGTATTTCTTCACCTGGGACAGAACTTTTTCTTTATTTTAAAGTGAACACCTCTTGAAAAAATACCTTGACGTAATTAAATTAGTATTTTCAAATTGCAGAAAACCCCCCGATGTTATTCAAGCCAATGGAACTTTTCATGTGGGTCGCCTTTTAATTGTGTCATATCCACATTACCATCTCTGCTATAACTTCTGGGGCAAACGATGTATGATGGAGAAAAGTTAGCCAATGAACAGTTTTTTCCTTCCACTGTATTTGTCACTTGTAATGGATTGATTATTCTTTAAATAGATTCCATTTTGCATGAACATGATTTGTGGCTGAGTCACTTCGGCTAGATTTCCATCGGCAACAGTTGAAGTGAAGACAACTACTCCCATGATCCCACGCTGCTTCACATCATCATCAAACTTTGTTTTTTGTTACTGTTCTGATTAAGAGACCCATAGCAGCCATAGTTACATGTTTAATGTTGAGAATGCATGGTCATTATCTCAATTTACATCCTAGTGTTGAAGTGTCTCTTACTCTTCAGGTTGTTTTGTCTTTGTTTATCATAGGTAAGTTCTTATACAACAAGATCATTTTTTTTGTTTTGTTTGTGGCATCAGCATGTTGGTCGCAGATGTTTTGTTTGTTCGGAGCTCTGTTCCCTGATTATCAAACCTCTTGTATAACTCACCAATGCTGCTGACTGGCATTCAGCCCCAGAGTGACCTACCTTTGTAGCAGTTAATGTGATTACAGAGCTTCAGTCCTTTCACATTATTTTGTGGAGCTCCTGTACTTATAAATATTGGTGAAACATTAACTGTAATAGCCCCGGCCTGCCTTTGTAGCCCTATAAAAAAACTGCTCTGGATCTGGGAGTGTGTAATTACTGGATTGGTGTTGAAGCTTGCAGCGCTCTTTCATTTCATTTCTGCTCAGTGTAGATTCAGTTCACCTCCAACGGCCTCAGGTGGAGACAGAGGCAGCAGACACAAACATGAGATTACAGAGTGAGGTCACCAGCATGCCGTGTGTGTGTGTGTGTGTG